TCTCTGGCCCTACGCGGTGCTGACATTCAGTCTTTACACGGCAAGGGGGGAGAGCGCAGCCCTGGGTTGAGTAAGACCTTGGAGGTATGAAATCACTGTACATCAAATAAGGAATTTCCAGGAGCATGCACGAGCCCCAGCCCTTCTGCAGCAGTCTGCCCTCCTACGAGGGGAGCTCTTCTGTGGACTTGGAAACTGTGCTGATCTCCCTAATTTTCCATGCAGCTTTAAAGGAACTGCTGAATACCACGTTTTCGAGCTGGTTCTATTCCTGAAGAGCAGCAATAATTTTCAGCAAAATCAAATTACTTTCACTCGTGCAGCCCAAAACACTGCCACTCGGAGACCTTAATTTTGGTGAATTGTGTCCTTCCGCTTTAGGAAATGAGGCTTCGGGCTCAGTTTCAGCCGCGGAAAGAGGACAACTCGCTGTCACCTGACCCACATTGCCAACACGGCTAACCGGCTTGGGTGGAGTTTAGGGCGACTGCTGCTCTCAGAGCCGTATTGAGCCACACCGAGGGGCCCTCCAAGAATGCAGACACATGATAATGGTTTTCAAACATGAGGAAACAGAAACACTATAGATAAGGGGTTTCATGAGATCACATAACAAGTTCTGTTGCAAGCCTTGCTGATCTGCAGCGCTCCTGTACTCTAGCCGTGGAGCACACTCCTGCCCTTGCAGTAAATATAACAGTGATGAAGATTTGCTTCAAAGCAAAAGATATTTTAAGCTTCAGAACAGTCTTGATGTCATCTGCCCAATGAAAAAGTGCAGAAAATGCCTTGCTGTCATCCCAGTGTTTGGAAAACTTTTCGGCTTTCAAATAAGCAACATTTGTAGCCTGCCTAGGCACAAGGTGGGCTTTAAAAATCAAATCTTTTTCAAAACTTTTAAATATATGCCCTAGTAAAAATACAAGTCTACATGAAATTTAACATAAATTACTACTACTACTTTGTATTACATGTTTTGATTTGTTCCAAACTAAAACCATAGCATCCCTCCCTTGAAGGGAGGGAGGTCCAACGTGGAATACAAGAACAGCTTTGTTTATTTTTCTACACAGACAGATTTCATTCAGTCACTCAGAGTCTGGCTCAAAGTGGTTCATCCAGATTACACAGGCAGCCAGCTGCTGCCTTTGCATGACACCCAGCCTAACTTTTTAAAAGTGTGGCTGTCAACAGCACTACTTAATGCCACTAACATCTAAAGACGTTCGCCCCTGCGCTCCAGAGAGGGAAGATGACCAGCGATGAAAGCTCCTGGTTAAAAAAAAAAAAATCTCTTCCAAACTGCCTGCCAACATGGCCTGCATGTTCTCCACTAAACATTAATGGACCTTTCCACAGCAAAAAGCACGAGAGGGAGGAAACCCCCTGGGGGAGCTGCAACGGCATTTACGAACGGGCCCCCCGAAAGGACTCGGCCTCTCCCCCGTCCAGGCACGGCAGCAGGAGCTCCAGCCGGGGCAGCCTTGCCCCGTCTCACTGGAAACACCCGACGGCTTTTTCTCTGCAGGGCTAGGAAAGGAAGGCGCTGGGCACCTTGCGAAATAACTGCAGTGTGCAGGAGCTGCAGCAGGATAAGGAAGATTTTTTTTTACCCTTAGTCTCACATACTTGCTTTGGATGCTCAGTAGCCAACTGCTTTTGTTGGAACAGATTTACAAATTTACACAGGTACTAGATGCACATTTACACATTTTTAAGTGTCTCCAAAAGCAGTGGAAAAGGCACAAGGAACTTACCAACAGTATGAATGGGTTGCCTGTAAGGTATTAAGCCAAAACTGTATTGAAATATTCCTCAGTCTCACATACTTGCTTTGGATGCTCAGTAGCCAACTGCTTTTGTTGGAACAGATTTACAAATTTACACAGGTACTAGATGCACATTTACACATTTTTAAGTGTCTCCAAAAGCAGTGGAAAAGGCACAAGGAACTTACCAACAGTATGAATGGGTTGCCTGTAAGGTATTAAGCCAAAACTGTATTGAAATATTCCTCTAGCGTGAAACAGCGGCAGAGCAAAGCCCATTTTCTTTTGCAGCTTCTCCTGTATATTTCTGAGCCGTGAACCTTTGGGGTTTGCAACTTGCTTGAATAGTTCATTTTCACCAAAGGAAAACACTGGGACCAGATGAGCCCTGCAAAACAGCCAGAACTACGGTGAACGCTGGAGAACCCCACGTGGCCCTGCACTTACACCAGCAGCGTGCAGACTGCTGCACCGCTCCAGCCGCTCTAGAGTTCATCAGCAATAGGCATTCAGCTCTTCTGAAATGCAGCTTCCTTTTGGCTGGCTTTCCCCCCCACCTTTATTTAGTTATTTATTTATTTAGGCCTTCACACACAACTAGCAGCTAGTTTCTGGGCAGTATTTAGCTGGTTGCTACCTGTTGCAACTTTTAATGACTATTCATAATCATAAAAATATATAATTATTCATATAACAATCATAACTATGATCTTAGCCATCAGTATTTCAGTAAGTTCACCCCGGTTTTCACTGCATTTTCTCCTTTGGCAAGCAAAGGAGCCTTGTTGCTAACCTGACAAAGCTCCTGACCGGGGAGCATCAGAAACAGATCTTGGCCTTTTCCTGCCTTTTGGCCAGAGTAGTGCACGCACTTGATTTCAGCACAAAAAACATGATACAAACCAGACATTCTCACAGACACGAGTCCAGTGCCAAACTCCCCTGGTGTCCAGCTCCCCGTGAAATCCTGCTTCCTCCAGGCTTCTTCAAAAACACTAGCCTTAATCTGTTACTATCAGAGATCAAATTGTACCCTCATAAATTAAATTAATTCACTTTGGCTCCTTCACAGCCTAATGAATTTTTGTTCAGTTCATGAGCTGTCTTGGGAAGAAAGGCGCTGGCTACCTCCTGGACAAACTACTTAGGCCGATGGAATCAGTGCAGTTGTCTCCAACAAGAAAAAAGAAAAAAAAAAGACTATATTTAGAACTGACCGCAGTATGTTGGGTTTTTTTTCTTGAACGCTTCGTTTCATTGAAACAGATTCTACAGCTTAAGCTTAAAAAGATTATTTAAAGCCAGAAGAATCCTAGCCAGTCTCTGAAGGACACTGAGGTGTTTTATTTGCTTTGCTCAAGTCTTAATTTCCACATTTTAGCTCCATTCAGCTTTCACTACCTTTGAGAAAAGCCTAATTGTAAAATAGCAGCATTGCTAGTAATTTGGTCAGGATGAATTACCGAAGAGCCCTGAATGCCTGGGGAGGATGCGCTGAGGACAGAGCAGGCTGGAAAGAGCCACGGACAATCACAACCGCCTGCTTGGAAAAAACGAGCACTTACATAGCTCGTCACACTACTGGCTTCCTGACTACTACCATTCCCCTCTCTGGTCTGACTGGTGTCTGCTCAAAGGCTGCTTTCTCAAATACACCTCATCTATCACCCTGCCACCTGTAAAGGACACATTGGAAAGCCTGGAAGAAAGCTTAGCTCTGTATATACTCCATTTTTAACTACAACAGTAAAACAAACAGGAAAATCTTGTCCTGTAATAGCAATTTTGTATACACCCTGAGACTATGGGATTTGTTTTAATCTGCACACTAAAGGCTTTTGCAGGGCACTATGTAGGAGGTTGCAACAAAGAAATAAGTAACTTCTGATTACGAAACTAAAGATAAGACATCTGATTCATCATCTACGTCTTTATGATTTCTTCACTTTGTATCAGATACCTGTGTTACTTTGGGCCAAGAGGTCTTTTCCAGAAGTCCAGAGGACTTCTGCACACATATTCAGACCACTTCTGAAAAGAGCAGCTGAGGCATGCCAGCGCTTCTCCGCAGCGGCAGCGCCAGGAGCCAGGGCCGGAGAGCGCAGGGCTCGGCGCTCTGCACTGCCCCTTCCTCTCTTGATATTTGATGCTGCAGATCAAAAGCATCAGAAGATGCCCAGACCCAGAACAGCTTGTAGACCAGTGGTTAAGACGATCTGTTGAGATGTACGTTTCTGTTCACTCAGGTCGAGACAGGGGGTCTACAGGTGACCACCTCATCCTAGTCGAGCACCCTAAGCACTGAGCCACTTTATTAAAAGAGGAGGACCACCACTTGAAACACAGGACTTCATAAAGGAAGAGCTGGCCCTCCATGTGCTCTGCGAGCGCCCTGAACTCGCCAGCCCACGTTAGGGCTGCTTTCGAAATCAAGGCCATGAGAGAAGGGAGTATCCTGTTTCTCAATGCAAATCAGCTTACATGAGAGACAACCACCAGCTTTTGTGATCTGTCAGATCAGAGAGATTTCTGGACATGCTCAGAAATAAGCACCTAAATATTTTTGTAAATCTTATGGTAAAAAAGAATAAACTACTGATGGGGCATAGGATCCCACTGGGTTAATCAGCAGGCAAACAAGGACTGAGTAAAGACCCATTTAGGCACTTAAGTCCCAGTTCAAATATGCAAGTCTTATTTCTGGGTACAAATTAGACTAAAATGTTACTTTCTATAGGAGAACAGGTCCTTTATGGGACTCCTATGGAAACGTATCAAAAAAAACCTCTTGGAATCGTCTAACACTGACTAATTTCTAGGAGAAAAAATGAGATTAGCAGCCTGGCTGAAAACAGACAGCTCTTCTCAGCAGCCATCTTTTCCTCTAATTAATAGTTAAAAAACTGACTGTTACAGACTTGGCCAAGGATTAATTGCTTCCTTCCCCTCTCCTATTGCTTAGCATATCAATGTATAATCCTGGGAGCCATCTAGAAAACTTAGCAGCAACAAGTCATTGGTTCCAATATTTCTAATATAGAAGGCATCTAGAACAGTCCAGCACAAACACAATAGCTCATTATGTAAATCACTCAAAAGATATTAATACCAGCTCTGTTTAGTAACACACTGATGGATTTTTGATAGTAAAAAATAAACTATTTTTTCTTTGAGACTGACACCCCAAATTCCCAGGAAACTTACATTTGTAAATAACGAGCTTCAAAAGAAAGTCTTTAGAATAAAGATGAAAAATCTTCCTGGACTATACTTTTAAGTGATTTAATGAAATAAGGCCTAGCTTTCTAACCTTTTTGCTTAAAATGATATGGAAATACTATTTCAATGTCACTTCAATTTACAGAACAGAGAACAATTCCTGAGTCACTCAGTAACAAAAGCCAAGGCTTACTAATATTGTTTCACAATTACTACTTTTCTGCTACTGCAATATAAAACAACAGAAACAAATAACCAAGATATGTTAATATTTCCACCTAGTGATAACAAGTTATGTAAGGCAAAGAGGAGTTTTCAACACTCCCAGACTGGATCTAGATGCTGAAACTGGCTCCAGTTTCAGATAGCTGCATGTTCATACAGAAATGACTTTCAGATTCTAATTATGAGTTCACTATATATAGTATACGCTATATTTATGAATCAGTCTATATTCAAAGCATGCTTATTGGAACAGCCTCGATGGGGAACCTACCCGTGTTTCAAGGCCATTTTAATAAAACCTTTCCTCTTGAGGATGTTCAACGTTAAACTTCCAGGATGTGCATTCAGAGACTCCTCTGCTCCTCCGATCACAATGACAGACGCGTGGCCACCTCCATCGTTGTTCAGCACATATGAGACGCTCTCTTTGGATACCGAAACCATTCCTTCAGGGGCAAACATTTTAAGAGCAGCTCAGTAGAGCCTCACATAAAAGTACAGTGGAATTTAAGAAATATTTGTAAATGATATCTAAATGATGTTTCTAAATAATTACAGCACAGGACACAGTTCTAAAGCCTGGATTGAACCTCTAACTTTTCAACAGATTTAGTCTTAGGTAAGTCCTTTGATTTCCCATTGATGAGCTAAATTCTGCTTGCCTGCCATAGAAGTTTTCTGAGATCTTCAGGAAAGAGGAGGCTCTTCTGCCAACATAACTCCTTAACGGAGAGGCTCCTACGCCAAGTACAAAAGAGTTGAATTGCAGCAGATATTGAGAGGCCGCAGCCAACACCACAGAAGCAGGTGTACATAAACAAATGCACAGAAAAAACAGAGGACTTGTTAACTTAAACAAGGGTCTACAGTGCCAAGCCGATCCCTTTTACTCTTTCCAAAGTTATAATACAGCAGCTCCACTTAAGGCAGGGGGACCACAGTGTCAGAAGAAGCAGAAAGGGCTCAGTTGTACGATTCCCAATGACCGCATCAGCTGCTCGTCTAGTACCCAGCATCTGACAGTCGCAAATCTATTTAGGCCAGAACAGCAGAACGTGAAGCTCTCCTGGTATTCCAGCTGAGACAGCTACTTCTAATTTGAGGCGCGCTGCTGCACGAGCCTTTAACGTCAGCTTGGCCCTTGCTCTGAACTCGGCCCTCTGAAAAATCCCCTTTCTAATAGGTACCTTTCCGACCCTCTCCAGAGTTCCTCTGTGCCCTAGATTTACTTGCAAGGCTCATACTGATACCGTTTACCCAAAAGCCAAAAAATAACGCAATAGGAGCACAGCTTTCAGTAACACGAAGATTTTATAAGTAGTTTATTATTTTACTGATAACCAGTACTATATGGAAGGTCCACTCTGCTCTGTCACCTGCATACATGTCAAAAACAAGCTAGGATGCTGACTTTTCTTAAGTATGCTTTTTACTTCAGTTATTTCTTGTCTAGCAGGTAAATATTTGTTTCTACAAGTCAACATGGCAAAAACAAATTCAATTCCAGGCTGAGCCATGTTTAAATTTGTCATCTTCCATCACTACCAATCCCTTAACTTTGTAGACCTGAAAAAAACCCTCAAAAATAACATTCTCATGGAAGGACGTTCTCCCGTGACGTTAAACTATACATGGATTTGCAGTCCTGATACTAACCTGAGCTGAACGCCAGGCACATCTGTAAGCATGGAGTGGTTGAATAGCTTGTCTGAAATTACAGCGTTCATGTAGAAGTCAGGCTTGACAGCTAGATCTCTGTCTCCCAAATCTGGTCTTGTCCAAATTTGTCTTGACCGTACTTACTCAACTGCGGTAGTTCAATGAATTTCAGTAAAATAACTCCTGTATTAAACCGTTGTGAAGGGACACTAGTCCTAATTCCGTTACATGTTCTTGTTATCTGTTGTTATTACTGGGGTATCAACAATGAGTTGAGTATGACCCCTTTATGACAAGTGTTGCACAGAACAGAGGGAAAAAAAGTTTCTTTCTTTAGAGTTTACATCACCATCACGATTACACAAGTTTGAAATATGGATCAGAAGTAGGTAATTAACTTCTGACTGAAAAGATAATTACATAGAGAAGGACTTTAAGCTTCTCAGGCAAGAGATTATCTTCAATTTGTTTTTCCAAGAGTCATTGTGCAATGACTAAATAGTGTTATACTCCAAAACATCCTCTTCTTGTAAGTCACTGGCAGCTAGTACTGTTGTCTCATAGTTCAAGGTGAGAACAGCATTTTTTTCAGGAAAAAAAAAAAGCCTAATGGTATGACTATTAGCATAGAAATGCAAGTTCAAGCAGTCCATTTACTGTATGGACAGTGTGTGTTCTGTCATTTTAAGGTTTGTTTTTAAAAAAACAAACAAACAAATTGGGACAAACAGAGAAACGAACCAGCATTGGGGATTATCAACAGCTCTGGAGGAACCTACACCCCATCCATGCCTCACTTCCCCGCCGGAGAATCTTCCTTGAAGTCAAGGTTGTTTCTGTGCATGATAACAGCTTGGCAGCACTAAGAAACACAGCCCCGGCCAACACCTAAACCCAGAAGCCCCAAAAGCCTCTTTACCATTTCCCCAACTGGAGAACCATTGAAAGGGTTCACGCTCACAACACGTATTTAAGGCAGGACGAGGGAATGGTAATTGCCCAACAGCCACTAAAGTAAGGCCCTGGAGCACAGCGAGAGGGCTTGAGGCACAGCAGGGTTTCAGGAAACAGCTGGGTGCAGAAGGGAGATGAAGCTGCAGAAAACAGTACTCATCAAATAGCCCAGAGAGAGCTTGTGGCTGTTGGAGGCTACTTTTCCCCTTCTCTGTCGGGTGGCAGATGGTCAGTAGATGCAAATCCACTCAGCCACAGACTACCTTGGTTCCTACTCCCTTTCCTACCTTTCTTACCATATCTAGAAGCATTAGATAATTTAAAAAAAAAAAAAAAAGCTGTATTACAACTGCCAGTTATGAGGCAATAGAAGAATGAGAAATTTTACTGAAATCTGTCAGTGCTGTTCTAACTGAAGTGAAATAACAATTTACCATTGACAGGTACAGGAGCAGACGCCACATTTTAGGCAGAAGCTGTAATACAGAGCAACAGCTGAGACATTCTGCTTTTACCTACCAACACTCATTATGTATTCTCTGAAGAAGGGACAGCTGAACCAGATGGGCATGATATGAAGGTACGGAGTAATCCCAGGAAATAGATTCTTGAAACCTGTCCCGGTGCAAAAGTTTCCAAAGGCTCCAGCTACCAGTACCCCATGAGGGTGAAAGCCAAACAAGTAGTTGTGATTTGGATTCAAATCTGAAGTTTTTATAAGCTGAAAAATTGAGATGATCAAAGAGATTATAATACTTCTATAGCATATGGACTTTTAAACATAGAATAACAAAGTATGGAGATTGCACACTGGCAGGATACAGAACTGATGACAATTCATTTCCCTCTTCTAAGCGCTTTAAACTGCCCTATTCTACACCTAAGCAAAGTAAGTATAAATAGATCTATCTCAAACGATCATTTCTGTAACATTTACTGCACTGGAGCACTATCTTGTGACCAAGTAAACCAAGTGGAAACCAACTCCTACCCCTCCTTGCTGTTGCTAAATCTCAGACTCCCTGTGCTTTAAGTCCAATTCACTCTGAAGTAACTATTCGAATTTTACCAAAGATGAGTCTTAGATGTCTGACGGCGTTCGTGGCTATTCTAGCTGCCTCTGTTCAAACATTTACAGTTGGGTGAGAACCTTACACTCACCTTAATGGGAAAGTATTCCCTAAAATGTTTCCAAACAGTCCAGCCTCTGACCCAGTGAGACCGTCTCCCTCCGGTGCACGGCGTTTCCCAGTCGAGGTAGTACCACAGCAAGTATAGGACAGCGACGAACCAAAATTTGCCCAGAATCAAGATTACAAAGATCCCACAGCAAAACTCCGCTACAAGAGACAAAACAGGAAACCATAAGGAGCATTAATCATAACTGCTTCCTTGCAAAACCTTGAATTCCCAGCCCTGACGTTTTTATTATGGATGTTTGTTCAAAATGCATTCAAATTGAATTTAGGTTATTCCACATTGTGCGACTGTTCCACTGCAAAAGAGGGTATCACCTCAGTCCGTCTGTCTTTCTTTACCATGCAGCTGGATGAAGAAGCTTAAGATGATGCCAGTTTACTTTAGCAGAAGAAAAGCAGGAGCTGAGGACCAACATGCTTGGCTTCTCCCCATGGTGAGGGCGAACGCTTAGCGTTCGGTACAGAGCGGCTGGCTTCCCCAAGACAGAACAGAAGACGACAGCAAGCGCTCACCAACAAGGATGCAACGCTCCAGAGAGCGAGAAGAGGGGAGCTGAGCTGGGGAAGGAAAGAGGGGAGAGGAGCCGGCAGCAAGATCTCTTTTCTAGGGGGAGTGGTGTTTGGCAAATCCTTTTCCCTTTGTTTCTCAGTCTATAAAATAGGGATAACAGTTCTGACTCCCTGTGACTAAGCAAGGACATGCACTAGACAAGGCCAAGACACTAGCAGGTTCCAGTTCAGTCTCTAAACACACCACCCTAAGTGGAAACTCACTGTTTCTATGGGAGCTTGACAGCAGTTTTAACTCCTGCTACTTTCAGACCTGGGTTAATAAGAGCTGTAACATCCTGTTACAAGACCGATAGGTAGGAAGTGCATTATAAACATTTCGAAAAGCCGGGGGCGGGGGAGAAAAGTGTTTGATTAAACAGAACATGTTACTTGGGGGCCCAATCCTAAAATAATTCTTCGGGAAAACTCCCATCCCACATCTGTGGGAACACGGCCTTTGCAGGACTTGCCGAACTCTGCGCTCTCGCAGCAGGTCAAGCAGCTGCGCCGCGAGCCAGGGACAGCCAGCACCTGCTGCTCCTGCTCCGCGGTTCGCCCCACCTCAGGCTGGTTACTCCAGCTTCCCCTGATCAACCGGCACCATCAGCCTCGTGCATCAGAGTAACTCAGCAGACGCCGAGCCCTAAGCTTGTTAGGGAGCCTGGGCTTTGGAGGCATCTATTCATTTACACAACAGCTAGCAAATGCTGACCCAGTCTCCACCAGAACTCCCAGCAGGCACCGTTGTATTATGCAGGCGCTGCTCTGCGACATTTTACAAGCCAGTTTTAATGAAGTATTTTGTATGTCCCACACCTGACTGGCTTTCTTGAGGACAGTATCTTGTTACCTCCTAAAAGGGGTTATATCAGTGAAACGTATCAGGCTAAATACATCTGCAAAGTGAGTGGAGTAAAGAGCAACAGAAGTATATCAGTCAATAATTTGGCTAACGCAATGTAAACTTTGGCAGAAAACATAGAAATGAGCAGATGGACCAAGAGTAAAAACAATTCAGCCTAGTTAAGTTCAGCTTCATTGAAGATTTTCCTAGCAGAAATTACTTGAGAGTGGAAAACTCACAGCAGGTTGGCTGTACTAAGCAGTTTCTAGCTGCTGAAAAACAGAGCTCAACTGGGCTTATTTGCACTCTTGCATTTCCTTCAATGTGAATACTTATTATTCTGAACTTCTTCCAACGTGCCCTTGCTTCTAGTTTGTGTCCTCAGAATAAAAATGGACAATCACAGGGTAACAGAGAACTACCAGAATCCAGCAGAAGCAGACAAAGCAGGGAAAGCTGCTGATTTGATCGAGCAGGAAAAAAAAGATGAATATTCCCATCACTGGTAGCGAACGAGCAGGAAAAAAAGGAATCTCACTTGTTGCAGAGAAGGGAGGAGAAGGCAACGACCATAAGCAAAAACAGGAATGAGATCAATGCTCAACCCCACTGGTTTAAAGGATACCCTATTCTTCAGTACCATCACTATGAAAGCACTTTGCTTCCTGCTTAAACAGGCAACACCAGCCCTGCACAGACTAGCACCTCTGTAAGAGCTCTAGAAAGATACTACAGCTAACCGAGGTCCACAGACCCGTGACGCCAATGTGAGAAGCTCCCACAAACTGCAACAATGAGTTCCAGGGAACATTTTTAAAAGTGGAACACGTGACATGGGCGAAGGATCTGACATTAACTTTCACTTCTCCTGAGGCAGAACTCGCTGGGAAGCCCACACTGGCAACAGTTCAAAACAGGGAATACAAATATTTTGAAAAAAGTCATTAATATCTGCTATTTGAAGAAGAGATCCTGAAATTAAAGAAGTTTCTAGGAATCATAATCTCAACATGATGCCAAGGTTAATACTCTGAAGTTGAATAAGTATAATTTCTTTAACGCAGTAAGTGATGCATTTCTCGTGTTCATGCAAAAGCTTGGTATGTTAAAAACATTCCCTAGTCTCCTTGTTGGAAGGACTCTTGGCTCAGGGCAGACTCACACGGCTCTTTAGTATTGGTTTCCTAGCCAAATAGCTGAAAGGTCTATGGATCAAAGCATCACTGATGCAAAAGCTAATTAAAGCAGCTACGCCAAGTGCTGGACAGCACTATTTAATACTACGCGGACAAATGTACAAAGGAGATCAAACAACTCACTGCTTTGCGTTAGCTAAAGCAGAGCTAGATCCCATGTGCCTGAGTGCAGGTGAGGTGCTGGACAGGTTAGCATGCTGTCAGCACCTTGCAGGACAAGGCCCATTTATTACTGCATTTGCAATGAGACATGCAAAACAAATTCCTATTACCATAACTCCTTATTATTTCGGTGCATTAATAGTCTGCAAGATGAGTTAAACATCGTTGACTCAAAACCAATGAGCCTATAAACACAAAAAGAGTGTTTTCTCCTTCGAGGAAGTCAGTGAGTACATAAGTGATAACTGCTTTACTTAGGTCCATAAACAAATTCCAGGCAAACAATGAATGACTTGTAATTTGTCACTTCATTGTATCCTCCTTGCCTGTTTGGATACACTTCCAGTACACACTGTAAGCACCATCGTTTTGCTTGAGCTTGAATTGAAGCTTTGAAGATATCTCTGTGGTGTATTGCAACAATGGGGAAAAAGGGAAACAATAGGCGTCAGAAGAGAATACACTGCCGTGGGACTCAACATCTGGTTTACCAGTCAACGTTGAGCACGTCAGTTAACATCCCTTTTCCTCCATTACCCTGTTTATAACATGGAGATACTGATCTGTTGCGAGAAATGGCTGAAAAATGCTATAAATAGCGTTGGTAGCAGCACCAGAAGCATCCTGACCAATAGCGTTTGAATGCCTGATGTTTCACTCATTAAACAGGCTCTGAGATTGCAGCCGTGGGCACCAAATTCATAAAACACTAAATGCCACAGAGAGAGGAAGAAGGAAACAAGCACATTGAGTGGGAAAATAAGGGTGATCCAGGAATTTTAAGTGCAGAACACACATGCAGTTACTAAGGAGTCAAAAATGCCTGAGTAATACCTGCTGTGAAGGCCACCAAGCCCAAGATTGTTTGTCTGCTACTCTCAGAGCAGAGACCGCGTCCAGCCACCACAGACGTGTCCTAAGCGGCCAGCGCTGATATCAATCAAACCAAACTGAGCTCTCCATAGTATCCCACAAAGTAAAATAAAATAGCTCACGCTCAGATCCCCCTCGGCTGCTCGACAACCGAGCCAGCTCAGACAGAAACGAGCTATGCTGCAGGTCCTGCTGTAACCACAGTCCTTTGCGAAGCTTTGTGTCGGAAAACACATTGTGCTGCTACCACTTAAATCAGCCCCAGACTGCCACGACAGTTCAGGGATTTGAACCTGGTCCCACAAACGATGTGATAACGAGGACATCATTATCCCACTGACTTTCTAGTGAATACAGAGGGAGAGATGTGGTTTTAAGCATTTACATTTCTCTAGGCATCGAGTACACGTACATGCAAACACATAAAACAAGCTTAGGGCAAAAAGCAAGCCGAAAGTCTCATTTTTTACATCTATAGCCACAGAGGGAAAACGAAAGGCAGCATATTCTTCAATAACCACAGCGACGTTCCTACAACAGAGCAGTCCCTTCCTCATCTTTAGGCTTCAGAGCAGCAGCAGCACTTCTGAGTTGGGTGCTTGAGAAACAGACTATTGGAGGGAACGCAGAAGGAGAATTGCACAGTGATGTTTTAGTCCCTGATGAACATTTTTTTTCCTTTCCGTTATCCCTCAAGGTAACACTGCTACGTCGATTTTGGCAGATCTTCAGAAAGACATGCAGAACTGATTATCCCTGCCTAGTGGCTTCTTTCATAAGAAAGAAGCATGAGCCTTAATTTCTATAAATACTTTATATAGATATAATTTTTTATAAATTGTAAAGAATAGAACAGAAATTTACATGAGAGAACATGCCCAGCAAACAAACTCTGACAGTCACAACACGGGAGCACGCACGTGCAGCACCTGAGAGGAAGCAATGTGCCAAGACAATGATAAATGAGTTTCATTGCGCCTGCAGAGTACTCTTCTGCAGCTTTTACATGGAAAGTCTCTTTAAAAACGTAATCCGTAAGGTTAATGCTATCCTGCTTAGATCCCACTTGTCTGTGCAGTTCTGTCTATGTACGGATTTCCACCAGAAGCACAGGAACTTGCTGCCACTTACTGCCTGATACAGAATCCCCAGCCAAAAACAAGCTGGGAAGCTATTTAAGCTCACCGCCCTAGGAAATGGTTGAAGTCAACCTGAACATATGGCAGCTATTTTCAGGAGTGAGGGCAGCAAGGAAGTCAGCATTTGTCGAACCCTCTCTCTTTCTTGTAGTAGAGGTCCTTTCTCAGTTTATTGGTTACAATTAGGAGTCCTGATCACAACAATATTTGAGCATTCCTACCAAGGCTGCTGAATTTCAACATTACTAGGAGAACAAACACAAACCCTCAGATGCAAAGGTTTGGAGGGTGGCTCAAAGGCTCACCTACTCTGGAATCTGCTTCCAGTTCCCAGCTAAGCAGACCTTCCATTGACAAACACTGATTAACTAGAGA